TTTCAATACTTAATTTAAAACTGTACAAACATCCTCTATTGTTGTATCCAAGATCTCTATCATAGTTACCAGTAAGTAAGAAAAGAACAAAGTCGCTGAAGACATCCCTGTGAAAAAAAAAGTTATTTCACCAAAGAGAATTCTGGTTTAATTTCGAAGCTGCTGTTACACAAGAGCTACTGGAGAAATGGGACAAGGATAACAAGAAGGGGGTCGTTATCCAAAAGTTCAGAGGTAGGCAGCTGATCAAAGGTTAAATACAAGCAAAGGAATGATTCTCTTCAAGTTAAATATAGAACGTTGTAACCTAAATAGATGCTTACCTTCAATTAAAACTCTTGGAAAAGGCTTTTGTGCTGTGGGGAAGTTCTCAAAGTCAGGTAAACTTTGTTTCTATTGCTTGAAGGGATCTGTGGGAAGGGAGGGAGGGACTATGCTCTCGGTGAAGGATGGGATATCTCAATATTCAGGTGAAAATGTTTTTAGTTATAAAGGTAGAGGGCAGAACTGATTAGATCCATTTAAAACTGCAGTGTTAGATCCATTTAGAACTGCAGTGTGGAGAGGTGGCACGAAGAGAGAGGAGGGGAAGGGGGAAGGGAAGGGGGAAGGGTCCTGAGCCATGTCCTCAGGGTTGTCCCTGCTGAAGCAGTGAAGACATTTGGACTCTTCCCCTCCTCTCTGTGCCATCCTCAACAGTGACATACCACTTGCTTTTCACACCTCAGACCATGCTTCTGCCGTGTTGCCAGATGTTGCCATCCAGCTGCTATTTCCAGGCTCCAAGGAAAAATCCAATTAACTGTGCATGTGTGGCAGCTTTATTAAAACAAGCACAGCCAAGTGTGACATGGTTTTGTCTTTTACATTAGTGGAATCGTAATTTTGGGGCCATCAGTGTCTCTTTAGCAAAACAATATTTGCTCCTGTTCAACACAGATACTCCACTCCATCCTGTCACTCCTGTAAGTTCTACCCAAGAGGAGTCCTTCAAAGTAAGTGTGTACATAATTTGTAAACTCTTTGGAGGGAGACTGAAGGCAAATGTGAGCTGATTCTTCATAATTTCCTTCTCACACCAATTAGTGGTGTTTTGCCTCTAAGCTAGCATAAGTGGGCACTTCTTACTTCTCTTTAGCAGTGAAAGAGATGCTGTCAAATTGCAATAGTTCCATGGAGGAAGATCTAAGCTAAGGGAGGAGATCTGGCATTGAACAGCTCACTACTAGTATCCCTCAGCTGCAACATGAAACAGGAGAAAGGGCAGTCACACAACAGCAGTTGTTCAGGGCCAGGTTGGATGGGGCTCGGAGCAGCCTGGGCTAGTGGGAGGTGTCCCTGCCCATGGTAGGGGTGGGATTAGATGATCTTGAAGGTCCCCTCCAACCCAAACCGTTCTGTGATTCTATGGTAACAAAACACTGAAATCTGTAGTTTCTGTCAGCTTCCCATGTAGGAGAGATATCAGGCGTGAGATTGGAGGAATTGACCCTGCACTGGAGACCTGTGTCCTGCCTCTGGCTGTTCTCCCTATCAGTGTCAGACCAGGACTCCATCAAGGTGGAATTTCCAATACACTCTCCTCACTTCCAGCAGTCAGCTGAGTCTTTGACACCATTGAGCTGCCAACCATGCCTTACCCACAACAACATCCTGTTCATAATATAAGCCTCATATTTTTATACTAGGAGAAAATTAGCTAGAAATTCTAGAGGACCAAAAAATATCATAACTTTTCACAAGTCCTTTGGATTTTCTTTGGATTTGGCTTTCTTTAGATTCAGGTTTTAAGAAAGCCCAGGACAGCAGCCAATAAAGTTCAGAAAAAAATATACTGAACACAGAACTTTGTAGATTTCAGGGAAGATATTGAGCCTTCAGTGAAGATTTTCTGGTGCAATGGGCAGCAGGATTGTGTCTGACCTCCAGATGCTGTTATGTGCTAGAAGGACAAACTATACAGAGAGCATCAAAAAAAATTCCCATCCTCAGCATAAGTCATATGTTTAATACTGTGGAAAACTTTCCCACTGCTCAGGATGGCTGATGGACTTTAATGGCATTTCCTGCAATGGGACATGTCTCACAAAACAAGTATATAGAGAAGAGCTGCATGAAGAGCTACTATTGACCTACACAAACATGCCCTTAGGTTCAGCACACACCTCCCTCTATCCCCAGGTGCACAGGTATGTCAGAAGTGAGCTGGGAACTGCTGAGCTGCATCCACTTGTACAAACTGTGGGATGGGAGAGACACAGCAGGGAACAACCCCCTGGGGTGGCTGTGTTTGTTTGAAGCTGGGATTTGTCAGGCTGTGTGAGCTCCTCATGAATTATTATCTTGGGGACTCAGTAAAAGCTTTCCTATGTGACTGAAACACAGGGAATTCAGCTGATGTGCTGAGCCTCTCCAAGCTGAAAGAAGACAAAAATGAGGTTGCCCAAATAAATCTGAGAAATATGACGGAAATAAGCTCTTGAAAGCTTTAGGTTGTACCTAACGTTCCATGTGTCAGTTGGGTGGGTGCCAGGTGGTGGGACACAAGGTGAGATGGAGTGGGTCAAATCCTCATTGCCCCTCCACAGAGTGATGGGACATGTTATGACATCTGCTTGCTTACACAGCTGGACATTGCTAGCTCTGGTGAAACAGGGGAGCTTTCATTGTCTGAATAGTTAATTTAGTCCTAAATTTCATTATTATTTTAAAGTGAAGTTTCAATAATTCCAGCCCTATGATTACATCGATCTACCTATGAGATGTTGACTACTGTGCTGTTTCTCCACCAAATTTTAAAGCAGAGAGGAATCCTTTAAATGAAACTTAGTCACTAGAGATTAGCACTACCTCTGACAGCAGTTTATTTCCATCAAATATAATTGTAAACTTGCTTTACCAGTCTCCTTAGATTATATGCTGCACTCTTGGGATACCAAAGAGCCTTTAACATGAATTACTATTGTAGTAAACACACAACAACGTTTCCACAGTGGAATAACCACTCAGACACCAACATTCATTAGTTAACCTTGCAACTTCGGGTTTGATTTTACAACATGAGGTCAAAACACTATGAAACACAAAAGCCTTGCTACAATCAGACAAAAAAAAAACATCTTCAAATGAGTTTTGCAAGTATCTTGGTGTTTTATAGATCAACAACTTGAAACATTGTTTCATGCTAAATCAGTGACCTGTAAACATTCACTTTTACCTAGTCTTTAAATACTTCTGCATAGTAATGACTTACATAGGTATAATTAAAATTAAGGTGACAGTGAATACAGGCAGAATTATGTCCCTAAATCCATGCAAGTAACAACTATATTTTAGCTTTTAACAGTTTTGAAAGGTGAAATTACCCTGAAGTGCCATAGTGCTTAAAATTCAGATTTGGCTCCACATGGAGACATCGTGGTCAACGATACTGACACATAACTGCTTTAGACACATAACACCTGAATATGAACTGACTGTATTGGTGGGTTTTTATGGGAAATATCATTCTAAGATGACAAAGAGGCACTTGGAAAATTGAAAAATGGAAAGAGTTTTAAAATGGTGAGAAAATTCGGTGGAATGGCTGATGTTATTTGCAGGCATTTTAGCTCCATTGCACAGTGTAGTTTTGGCCTAATTCCAGTTGAAGTTTGGTGATCATCAGGAGCTGAGAAGAAAACAGACAAAAAGGACACTTAGTAACTTTGCCTTGAAGATCCACAGTGTTTTCTATGTTCCATAGAGATATTGGCTTCTCATTTTAAATAAGAATTTACTTTTCTTTACTTTTGTATTTGTATCACTATAAACATAGTTGAACCAGCACAGATTTGTGTGCCTGACCATGAAGCTCTGATCCTTTCCTTCATTCAGAAGCTCTTTTAGAACAGAGATTCCTTCTAATTTTAAAATAAAGGAATTTTTAAAAGGCAGCAAAACTTGGCACAATTCCATTCCCTTTTACACTTTTTAACTCATTTCTTTTGGTTCTGTACAAGACTTCTATAGTTTTAGCTTTCCACTGAAAGAGAGAATGAACTAAGACTTTACAGAGGATTTCAGAGGAAGGGTAGGAAGATCCCAGTGACAAGAAGTTGGACACTCTCCCTCTGTCAGAAAACTGGCAAGATTGAACACCTCAGCAGTTCTGTTCATATTTGGAAAATGCCCCACTGCAGTTACATCTTGAACAGCAATAATTATACACATCTATTTCAGCTGCCTTTAGGAGTGCTTGGTTTTATTGTCAGGCAGGATGAGGTGATGCCCTGGACAGGCACAACCCATAGAGATGGAAAACTTGGTGCTCTGAAGTTGGTGTACCAATGTCTTCAGAAGAAGTAGGATTTGCCTGGTACATGTAGGAACCCTGTGCTGCAATGCCTATAGCTGAATTATTGTGTCATGACAACAAGAAATGGTGGGAGGCAAACAGGACTCAGAACTGAAAATGTCGTCGGGCAAGAAGGACAACAGGGTCACAGAGAGACAATGGAAATACTTATAGATGCTTTTTCTTCCATCAAATCCACAGATTGCAAGTAAGCTATTATTAGAAAGAATGGAAACCAAGCACAAAATCCACCACTTTTTCCACCATCAGAAGTGGTTTATGTTCCTCAACAGAAATTTCTGTGCTTAAAAGTTCTACCACACACAATATATCCTACATATCAAAGTGTACTATATAGTCAGTACCTGATGGTCACTTATATCACACTGAAACAGATTTGAAATACAGTGTTACAGCTGAGAGCTGAATCTCCAAAGGTTTAAGAGCACAAATAGAGGTGTGAAAGCAGCATGATCCTGCAAACAGCATCTCACCTTCTTGGTGTTATCGTAGTTCACGACGTGAGGTGATGCGATTGCCCCACCATTCTGTGATACTGTCACCTTCTTGACACTTACGGACAACCCCAGGACTTTGATGTCAGTAAACATTAAGTTGTTGGGATCAGTGTAACCTCTGTGCATAGCTCTGATATCTAAAACAGTCTGAAAGGAAAAGGAAAAAACAAATATCAGAGATTGTGATTAGACTGGGACAAGTCAAGAGAAGCTGTGGCTGCTCCATCCCTGGAGTTCAAAACCAGGTTGGATAAAGTCTTGAGCAATCTAGTCTAGTGGAAGGTGTCCCTGCCCTTGGCAGGGGTTTAGAACTAAATGATCTTTATCCTTTGGAATACACCCAGATCCCATGCAGATGTGCTGCATATTTAGTGCTCAGAGGGTATTACATTCAGTGTGAGTATTTTTCACTGTTGGTTGATTCAAGACCTCTTTAATCAGCCTTTTCCTTAACCAGGTTTTGAAAGAGCAGGGAAACATGCATTTATTTTGTAATGTCTTTACAACTACAAAATCTGAGTATTAGCAAAACAAACTTCTCTTTCCTAGCAATTAATACCCTTTTATTTTATGAAGACAGAATTAAATGAGAACAGTGTGGATAAATTTAGATGACAATCTGGCACCCTAGAAAACTAATGAAATAAGAAACGGTGTTTTCTATCCCAAGAGAAAGAGAATTTCTTTTAAACCACAAGTCCATATAATTAAATATAATTTAATTCCAGTTATTGCTATGATAAGAATTGAAACCTGACAATGCCATAAATGTACACCCTACTTAACAATAAACTGTAATTGATAACTGCAGAATCATTCCTAAAATCATTCTTAACACAGTTTAATCATATTTCTTGTAGCCTGTTCAATTGTGAGAACAATTTAATGTTAGGATGGGATAACTAAAACATTATGAAGACCCAAATTAAAAGACCCACAGTAAAAAACATAATAAGAGTCCTCATCTGAAGTGATTATTCAAGAAATGTCAGCTAATGAGACTTACCTTGTTAGCAATAAATGATGTTAGCAGGTATACACCATCTTCATATGCATCTGTTAAAGAGAAAGAATAAAATCAAATGTCTTTGCAATTCACCTTAATTAACACATTATCAACATTTCAGCTCAAGAATTGTGTCCAGATACTATATGTGTGCATATATATATATATATTTGGTGTGTATCTATATGCAAATAAAAAGAAGCTGTGCATTTCCAGAATATGATATCAGACATAAAATACTTTCAGTATTTAATGTGTGCTATTTAAATGAGGACAAAAGAAGAACATTTTAGGGGTAAGGTAGAAAAGAAGGCAAAGAAAGTGCACTAGGAAGATCAAGGGTGTTTAGACCAGGAGAAAAATGTATCTGTTCCTCACTGAAGAGTCATTTCCCACATCCACCTCTATTCACTGTCCAATTATACCTGACACATGACCATGATAAAGGCTGATGAGGCTTTGAAATCGCTGTTGTATATTTATCAACCCTATTATTCAGCACTAAATGCACTCAGAGTAGTGCTGATAATTGTGGCCATTGGAGGTTCTTGCCTTTCCACTCTCCTGAAAACAGATCACAGCATCCTGCTGTGCTGCACCTTGTAATCTAGGCAAATCCCATTTATCATCAGACTTCCATAAACATGGCCATCATTCCTCAATTCCAGTGTTGACAGGCAGTGGTGTGTGTGAAGCACCTCAAAATAC